AGTGATTGAAAATTTTTGTAAAGCGCGGATTTACTCAGCGCAATTGTTCTCCCTGGTTGCAATCAATTCATCTGTCTACGATCCACATGCATAATTGATAGTTGTCAATGTGATGCGGAATGCAATTTTCTACTGCTCGTTTCCATAGCCTCAAATTGCCCCAACACAACCCTTCGTATGCTGGTATTGCTCACAGGATAACTTTCCTAGGATGTAGATATCACATCACAAACATCCAAGTCCTTCAGTCACACACAGTCCGTTCCAAGCGCTTTTTCCACCCAACTATCCTGCTCAAACCGCTCTGTGAGAGTATTTTACACTATCAAATTGAGAAAATGACTAACCGAACAGCCGAGAATGCATGTATACACGCACACCCACTGGGAATGATAAAGCTTATCCCCGGGCGTTTCCGATCAATTTGCACAGGAAGCATTCACCGAGAGCTGCACACCGTCCTGGTGTCTCACTCACGCAACCCAGCGGCTTTTATCTTCAAAATTATCATCTATGCTCCATATCTCTGTTGCATCGTTTTTCCTTTCTCTACTCGTCCCGTCTCTCCGCCCTCCCCCTCTCCCGCCTGTCTGTTTGTCAGTACGCATGTTTCTGACGTGCGATAAGCTTTGCCTGTTTCACTTCCAAACAAAGTAGAACTGATAACCGAGTTCACATGAGCTTATCTATGCTTATGCGACCGTGAGTTAGGTACTGCGTCGATTGCCGCTTGCTTGCGTGGTCGAATGCGGTCGGATGGAGTGCTTTCCTAACGTGACTAAACAGTAACAGAATAACTAGTGTTGGTCACTGAGTGCCAGTGATTGACGCTCTGCCGAGTGTGAATCACTTTGATACTATGTATCACCGGTATCGACTTCAACTCAGCTGACAGCCACGGTAATTAGGATCTAATAGTTGCTACCAGTCAGGTGTTTTCTAGTGAATCGCCAGTTTAGAAACTCTGTCTCAGTGCATGATAAACTCATCGCGTAAGTCAAGTCAAAGTAAGTTTTATGCACCCGTAGGGTGAATTTTCAGCGCTTTTTTACGATAATACAGTGGAGCTGAAGTGAATGGTCTCCGAGTGAGCGTTGAGCTGCTTCAGTAAGGGGCAGACCTATCTATCGGATTCAGGAATTCCATAATTTATAAGTGAGTCGAGTGTCTGAAACCGCAAAATGGGTTTATTTTTACGAACAACTCAAACAACCCTATGGAAATTTCCAATTCACAACAGAAAGAGTGAGAGGATATGCCTTTGTCACGAGCGTTTGACAGACTGTACCACATTTCATTCTCCCTCCCTCGGTTGAAATTGGGTCTGCGTTTAAGGTGCTCTCAAAGATATAATAGAACTCACACTGAACTATAGTTTGCCAATGGGGTGATGAACCTTGCTTAACCAACAGAAGTCACCGTCGGAGACGAGACAGGTTTGATGGACCACATGAGGCCTTTGTTCAAATGACACGAATGTGTTATAGCCGTTGTGTGACGTACCATATCTGAAGTGTTTACTCCTTTGCCGGAGTTTTGTAATCCTTATGCGGATATGATGAAACAATTGCACTGTTAACTCTGTGATCAAAATTCTGAGTGATAAATATTCGGTTGTTTTTTTTCCTGGTACCTGGAATAAATGATGATCCACCTGGCTTTCTATCCATCCATCCATCCATCCATCCATCCAACCATCCATCCTTCCGTCCATCTATCTATCTATCTATCTATCTATCTATCTATCTGTCTATCTGTCTGTCTATCTATCTGTCTGTCTATTGATCTATTTATTCATTTTTATAACACCAACAACTAATTATTCTCTCTAGTCTTGGTGACTCCATGTGGAAGTATATTATGATATTCAAGCGGTCGTTAGTTTTGCTATGATCGATAATCTGTTTCGGTGTGGATCAGTGCAGTAAACCCAAAGCAAAATGAATCATTTCTTCTTATATGGAATATCCATCGGAAAAAAGACCTCTCGAAACACTAACACACTTTAGGGATCAAACATGTTTCCATTCGCAAGAGCGCGATACATTTTACCCGGCTGCAAAACAGTATTACCAAATTGCGATTAAAGCCACATCATACAGGATGCAAGTGAAAGGACGAAAGAGCTCACAATCGTAAGCCTCGGCACTAATCTAATGTGTAGTCAATCAATTGAAATATAGTCTCATTCGTGGTGTGGGGAACGTAAATCTCGTCTATGGGTGTAAACACAAAGATATATACTCGAATACCAAAACATTAGTGCTTTCAACTGAAATTTCTAGTGGTGGTCGAATGAACCGTTCATTTGTAAATAAATAAATACTCCACACGTAGAACGGTTCTCTACCCAAAACGTTTGCAAAATCTTTCATACTACGAAACTTTCAACAGTACCTGATCCTAATGGAAAACTGAAACGCGAAATGGTCTGGTCCAATCCCACCTCCTTGTAAAATGTTAACATTGCGATATTCATTTGGAAATAGCATTTGTGCACTTGTTGGAAGGCATGCCAAAAAGCGCGATTGAAGGGAACTTCTAGTAAAATGCTTTTGCTTCTCCTTTCAACTTCTCCATGTGTTGAAAAAGTTCGCAAACTCTGACCAAGTTTCAACCACCCAGTACACACATAAGATTTTTCTTCTGGATTAGTTTTGCAGGGGAAAAACATATAATCATACCGCCAGTCCATACGAGTACAATTCTTCCGAACTCCATGATACCATATTTTGTTGACTCATGTACCAATATGATCTGTTTTTCACTGACCGGATCTATAGAACATTTGGAATTTATTCCGCCAGATCTTGTTTTAGTGATTTTTTGCGATCCACACTCAATAACCACTCGACGTTCTACAAAGCAATGTCCTCAAAAAACAAACACTGCAGCATGCGTTTTCGCTCGGCTTCAGTTTTTCTTCCAAACTCGGAAGCCGCGGCTGTTTGTTTTTCGACCCCAATTGATTTTCGAATTGTTTAGTATGATGTACCTGCGACATTCAACGGTCTTTCTAAAAATTCCTACCAGCCAGTTCGTGAACTCATTATCATATCATCTGATGTTTTATCGATAACCTTTTATGAAACTTATACCAGATAATTGTTTCCTGATTCAACTTATTTGCTGTAGACGGATCCTTGGTGCAATCCCAAGTCAAGTCAAAGTCAAGTTAAGCTTTATGCACCCAACAGAATGAGGTTTCAGCACTCCTGACAAGTTACAGTGGGAAAAACGTGAAGCATTGGAATAAGAAGAATATGCATTTACTAAATGAAAAACAAACGAATGTGATATAATCCAAAGATGATAGATGATTTTCTAAGTCAGATATAATTTTTGTTCGCTGAACCAAGATCTGATGTCGCCCTCAAATTATGCTCACAAATTTCCAATCATCACCTAGTCCTGACCACAAGAAAAAGACCGTGGAGGAATTCATATTGAGCCTTGATTTTACGTAGGTGATATCTAATTACTGCTGGAACAGAATGCTTTAAAGGGTTTTTTTCTTCCCAAAAGAATAGGTAACATTTACGTGTTTTCAGTACCATGCAAAAGATGAGCCTAATAACTGACGGTCTTTAGGAGGAAACGAATTGGAATCCAGTCTGTCACGGTTGATGTTTAGATGACAGATCATGCAAAGTCCTCTCCTCCAAGTTTCAATGCACACAGACATACGTTGGTGGCATTCATGGTCATCCTCACAATATTCATCACCGTACTCATTGCTACTGGTTTCCGCATCCCTTATCGAGACCAAGTGTCTGTTTGCACTTTCGATTCTCCTAGTCGAACCATTTGCTAGCTTAATTGCTACATGAAACGAGTAACCCTGTTTCGCTTGAAATGTCTTTGAATTCAATTCATCGGGTTTGTGTCACATTTGAATGTGCAGACACCGTGAATAATTCGTCTGTTCTCCATTCCCACATTGTCCAAATCGTTTCAATATCCATAATATGATGTATGCTACTAATTTTGCTGTTCAATTTTTGGTGTGCTCTCCTAAATTTTGAAGACTGACACATCTTTGGAGGAGAAACTGGAGTTTCAAGAATGCGCAGTTCGTCACACTGATCGGGGTTCTGTTTGCACTTGCAAGAAATCCATTGTGGGATAGTCGTAAGCCTGTACAAGTATTTACGTGAAACAATGACAGAATTGAACCATTCTGTTGTTGAGGCTGTCAATCTGGTTATCAGATCGATTGCTGTGGACTGTTTGTAGCTAATTGGGAAAGAAAATTAGAGAGAAAGAAGCAATTGAATGACTGCTATGTAACTTTGTCGTCGCACTTGTCACTAAAGAGCCATATCGCAGAGCGTTTTTCCTCGTTTGCTTAGCACGCGAGTTCTTTTCATGGCAGAAATCGTCATAGTTTCATGAAATTAAATTTACCACTGTGACTCCCAAAGCTGTCATTTGTTTTCTCTCAGTCCCTTGTTGACGTGGTTGCGTGTACTACACACTGATTCTCAAATCCAACTCTTGCTTTGTGCTCGAATCCGTTCGGAGAAATGTAACATGACGTTCACCAGTGTCGCACACAATAATGGAACTTCAAAAAAGAAAACAGTCAGTTAGAATATCTGTTGTACGAGGACAAGTATTTTCACTAATGTATAGACATTAAAATCATATTTTCACAGAAAATTAAAACTTTCTCTGGCAGCTGATATCAATAATGGGTAGGAAGAGTTACCCTTGGGAATGGTTGGACAGTGTAGTGTTGATTATCAGTTAACGGTATTGTCAAGCTCGTAGAGAGCACCGTTGATCGAGTGCCAGTCAGGGAAGTTAAACTGCTTGTATTTGTTCCTCTAACCGACAGATAATATCTTTCAAGGCCACTGTTGTGTGGTTATTGCCCGAATTCTAATCACTCTGGATAAGCGAAGCATTCGTAACTTTTTGTATCTGAAATCACCGAAAGTCTGTATTTTGTGATTTTCATTAATTACTGTACTATCAGTTTTGCGAAGGATGACTGTAGTCCTTCCCAGGTGACCTGGTGATGAGTAAACTGAACAACAGTGAGAGGATTTAAAGAGAAGTTTGCCAAGCAGGTGAAATGATAAACCTGCCTGCCGCCAAAGCGGAGGTCAGGGCTGGGGTAAAGGTTTTGCATTAACGACTCATCGTGAGTTTGTTCGAATCTCAATGAATCTCGGAAATCTGCGCTCCAGATAGGATTAGATGAAGACCTCAGAAGCTATGCGGTGCTCATGTTTAATTTAAATGATATGGTCACATGGCATCTGAATGACCTCCATTTGAGGTGTGTACTTGTTGGACCAAAGCAGGCCAATCTTAGTGAAATCAAATGTCTGTTTAAAAATGATGGAAACAACATGACTACCTCGAAACTGCATGCAACTGCTGGGGAATTAGGGATCTTCCAAGGACTGAAACCCTCAGCGGAAGGAACCAACAGTAATTGAAGCCTGTGGACAACCTACTAGACTATTCGAAACAGGATACTGTAAACTAAGTCGGCCATTCATGTAGGTTGTTGGCCGTCGATCCTGTAGCTCAGTGGCAAGGATTTCGACTCCCAACCCGAAGGTTTGCTGTTCGAGCTCAGGCAGAGGCACAAAACGTGTGCCACGGTGGTGTGCCAAACAGGACGAAACAACTGTTCAGTGCTCTTTGGCGGTCATCACAGAGATTTACATAGTATATACATAAGTTTGCCTGGGGAAGGGACAACAATCTTCCAAGACCATGAAGAATGCTTGGTTCTGGTGGGCCAATCCAAAAAGGATACGCTGAGAATGGAGATAACTCAGGTTGATTGGCTTTCAGGAACCCCAAGAATATTCAATATAAAGGATATGCTACAAACCCCGGATCAGGTGTGACCAGATAGACAAGCGGTTATACTAAAGTCCACCCCTTGCAGTCTGGGTTCGTAGAATAATAGAAACCTTCAAAACCAAAAATCAATTATTGATTGAAGAAAAACAAAAATTAACTGGGCATCATACCTCCCATAGTGATCGCGAATGTACATTTCATAAGAATAGTTCCCTTTCAGTTTATGTTGTAAGAACTGCAATGAAGTATGTTAATGTGTTTGTTAATATCCTGAGAGGAAATGAAACACTTTACCTGCGTTTCTTATTTCATTTTATTCATTGTAACAAAACATCAGATACGAACGTCAACAACGGATGGAAACCATCTATTTGGACAATGAGGCATTACGATCCAAGCAGATCCCGCAAGAGTTAACCACCACGGAATTGCAACTATTCTGGGAGAAGGAAATGCCATTGCGACCTCAGCGTAGCAAAGTACCACCGCCAGAGAGAAAACCGATCGTCATTCCGGCCCCCAAACCCGTACCTATACGTACAATGCAGGTGCTTGTACCATCACCCGCACCACCGCCACCAAAACCGCAACCGACTGTGTTCTATGTGGCACCACCGCAACGCAAGCCATCACCGCCACCACCTGCACCACCGCCGCCACCGCCACCACCACCGCACAGCACAGAGAAGGTGATTGTCCCACAGGATCCGGAAGTGACCAGCGTATCTGTGAGAAAACTCATGAAAGAGTTTGATGTTCCACCGATCGCACCAGAGCTACGCAGTAAGTTGGAGTGAGTCGGA